GGGAGACCAGACACATCACCCGAACTCATTTCGAAAGTGGTACTTAAAACCTCGTAAGTAACCCAGGGAAATTGGGATATTAAAGAGGCGGGAGGACACTCGGGGTATGACTCGGTAGAAGCTGACTCTTCTACAATCTCTGGGGGGAAATTCCATAAAAACCTAAAACAAAGAAAAGAACTTGATCAGAAGAAGAGAATGGGCATACCTGAATAAAAAATGCTACCAGAAGAAGAGTCAATAGAAGATGAGGAAGTCGGCACATCGGAGATTATGATTGGGTCATCTGCCCCACCAGAAGCGGAGGTAGATCCCGAAACTACTCCATGCCAACAGCTAGCCAAAATAGACTCGGCTAAAGAGTCACAGCCTTGCTCAATAAGTTTGGAACTCTAATAGACACAGGAATAACATGGTCCAGTTTTTTTGGGTATGGGGAGATTGAGAGCTACCTCGGCGGGCTGATAAAGAACCCGGATGTGTTATAAGTAAACCACTGGAGGGCTTAGAACTGGTTTGGAGAAAATGCAGGGGAGTACGTCAGCTCACAAATAGACGACTCATACCCCGGCTGGACGAACCTCTACCCCAGCTCTGCCCTAATTTATGATACCCCGACACTGATACGGGACACAGGACACGACACGACACGCTTACACGTTAATTCTAAAAAATGTTAAATTCTGACACGTTAGAACACGTTTTGATATTAAGAAATATTATTAATATATATAATATATTTTACATTTATATATATAATATTTCTTAATCCAACAAATAACTGATTACAATATTCACTTAATCCATTTAATGTCCAATTAATATAACAATCGATTACAAATTTGTTTAATCAATTAAATTTGTGACTTGTTTATCTGCTTGTTTTCTTTGCAGCGTTGTCCATATATGAAACAAAAAATAAGCAAGAGTTGTGAAAAAGTTGAAATCAGAACATTAGCTAATAACAATATAATTAGAACAAAAAAAATCAAAACAACAATAACACGATTTTTATTAAAATAGTTTTTTTTTTCTTCTCACTCCTAGTACACTTCACACACAAATTTTGCAGCTTTTAAGAAATGAAAACAAATGACAGGTTTCACAGACACATTAAAAAGGCTTTATAACAAAGACGAGGGAGAATGGTGAAAAATGAAAAAAAAGGGGAACGATGAAAAAAGGGTGGAGCGATGGACCGAATTTTATGAGAAGAGCTTTTTTATTTTCTGCCATTGACGAATACATGGTCGGGGGTGCGTTCATTGGAAGTTTTATAAGGAGAATAGATAAAAAATATTAGAAGCAGAGAAAAGGGGAGGAAGCTCCGAGAAGAAACTAGAGAACCATTTTTTTTAGGGGAAACAACCACCACCGACTCCATCCCACCCCGCCTCCAACTGCTGCAAGTCTCGCCATTTTATCTCTGTTTTTTTACTTCACTGCATATCCAAGCCATCTACAATGGCAGAAACGTGTTCTGATTTTTTTTTTTTACTTTTATATTTATTTTAGAATTATTTTAATTTTATAAAATTTTACATTTTTACCCTTTGACCGTGTCCGATACGGTCAAAATCGCGTGTTGAGATAGTCAATGTGTCCTAAAATATTGACCGTGTATCGAACGCGTGTCGGAACATGTCATAGCGTGTCGGTGTCCAACACGTGTCCGACACGTATTTTTCTAAAAAAATCATGTGTCCGTGTATCCTAGGCCCCAATCCTCTATCTGACAACCTGAATTTCCTCTGGGATCTGCCACCGCGATAACCATGAAGCATGGCCTCACATTCTTCTTCTTCAGTCCTGAGAATTCCCCAAAACTAGAAACGAGCAACAAGGGGAATCTTTCTCAGAAAGTCAGAATCATCCTCTTTCGTCCCCTCACAATGCAGAGCTGAAGAGGGAGGGTTTTTCCCCTCATTGTGTTAAAAGATGCACACTAAAATGGCAGAAGTGAAGCAATATGCAGCACTTTGAATATATTTGGGGTGGGAACAGAAAGGAGGAAAACCGTCCAGCAAACTTTGAAAATATTCAGGTTAGACTTGTAATTTAGGGCCTACACAGGCTAATAGGTCAGGCCATACCCAATATTTTTTTACACAGACATGACCTATTTAAGCCAAAGCCTAGCCTAGCCTATTTACACCCCCTAAATTTCCACCCATAGTTAGGGGTGTTCATCAATCGATTCCAACCGCGGAGACTGAACCAAAAATCGATAACCGAATAAACCGAAAAATCAAAAACCGAAAAAAACCGCAAATTTTAATTGCATTGGATCGGTTTTCGGATTGGTTGATGAAAATCGATCCAATCCAAACCGATCCAATATATTAATTTCCCTCTACCTACTTGGGCTTTTCCCCAATCATAGCCAAAAATCTCTAAACCCAAGACCCATTATCCTATCAACTAAACCCAAGAAAAAAACCTAGTCACATCTCATCAACAAAATTTCATCTGTGTAAAGCTTCATATCTCATTTCCCAAAAAAAAAATTATATTATCGTTAACTGATGCTTTTATATTTCAAAAAATAAATAAATTACAAAGCCAATATATACAAAAGATGTTATTTGCACAATAATTATGAAACAAATTTTAGGATTTTCAAAAAATCGAAAACCAATCCAATCCAAACCGAAAAAAATTGGATTGGATCGGATTGCTCCACCTAATTGGAATGAATTGGAAATTCAAAGGGGGAGCTAGAAGCTTCGCTTCAAAAAGCGGAGCTTGCTTTCTACTAAACGAGCCTTCCTTGATCAGAGAAATCCGCCCGACCCCTATCTTTAATGTCAATCATTTGCATCATTTGTTTCAACGGTGGCAGCTGCGGAATCAGCTATGGGGTTAGCCATTTTCGTTATCACTTTTCGAGTCCGAGGGATTATTGCTGTAGAATTCTAATTGGCTTAAGAGGGAGGGTGGAGATTAGGTTGGTATCTAGTTCGACGGAGCTATGGGGGTTCAACTCCTCTTTAATCTTTCTTTTATATTTCAAAAAATAAATAAATTACAAAGTCAATATATACAAAAGATGTTATTTGTACAATAATTATGAAACGACTTTTAGGATTTTCAAAATATCGAAAACAGATCCAATCCAAACCGAAAAAAATTGAATTGGATCAGATTTGAAAAAAAATTCAAACCGAATGGATGATTACATAATCAAATCGAAGTGATTGGATCGAATGATTTTTGCTTTCAAAACCGATTCAATCCAGACCGCGAAAACCCTACTCATAGTTGTCATGTGTCCAAAGAAACAAATAAATAAAAAATGTTTGCACGAATACCAAAGCAGTAAAATTCGTTTATGTGCAATAAACCTGTTAATCATTTCTCTCTCTACAAGAACATGAAGCCCTACTTGCATTTATGAGCATATAATGACATTGATAGACATAAAATGTACACATGAACAAATCCAAGATTTTAAGTAAAATTGGGAGGAAACTAAAATATCGTAAAATGTAAAATCGCAATGTAAAAAAAATCGTAAAAAATCGCAAAAACGTAAAAGCGTTTGACATATTAGTAAAATCGTTTTGATGAAAAAAAATCGTAGTGATAAATCGAGATTTTAACAACCTTAAACAAATCATATAAAATTACAGAAAACGATTCGATCCTTGGTTGTTTCCTTTTCCCGTTGTAGCAGGTTCTCTCCACATGGCTTGAGAGGATTTACTATTATTATTATTAAGAGCTCTATCGCAATAGGGAAATTTCTTCCCCTGTAAGAGCTTGGATGAGTTATTTTTTCTTCCCAAAGCTATTTTTTTTTAAAAAAAACTTCTCACTATAAAAGTGTTTTGATATCAGCTTTAAAAAAAAAATAGGAGTAGAAAAAAAAACTCAAAATTTTATTTTTCTTAAGTTAAAATTTTTAACTTATAAAAAAAAAATTAAAATATAAATATTTTTCTCAAAATTCAAATTTATCTCAACTCCAACTTCAACCAATCTCGTCATCAATCCCACCTCCCCCTACCACCAAATCTTGTTCCATAATTTGTTTTTACATGTGCATTTTAGTAATTTTATTCATAAAAAATACATTTTAATTTTAATATCCACATAATTTTTTTAGTTAAAGGCTTTTTTGACATAGTATATCCAAATAAAAAATAACTTTTAACTTATAAAAAATCTTAAAAGAAAGCAAGGCATAAAAAGTTCCATGATTTGTTTTTATATGTACTTTTTAGTAATTTTATTCATAAAAAATGCATTTTAATTTTAAGATCTAAATAATTTTTTTAATTACAAATATTTTTCGCACAGTACATTCAAATGCAAAATCACTTTTAAAAAATCTTAAAAAAATAAAGGCATAATTTTTATTTTTATTTTCAAGAGCTTATCTAGATTCTAGAGGCTTTAACTCAATTACAGAGATACCTTATACTCACTCCCTTGCCATTACTCCCAGCGGAAGGGAGCCACACAGAGCCACCGTGTAATAGATAACTACTACATTGACATACTCTATCCCTAGTGAAAAACAATTCTCAAGAAAAATAAAATAAAATAAAAATACTATACGCTTATATAAAAACTAACGAAGAAATGGTTAACTACTTCACATCATGGAATGTTATGCACCAACTTATTGCATCCTTCACCATATTTTGCCATAGATGATTTAGTTTAGACTTAATCTCACTTCATTAATTGAATCTCTTTATCCTAACGACGTTGTTTTGTGCAACTAATGACTTGGTTATACTTCTATTTGGACAATATTTCGATATCTTCACAAGTAATTTATTTTTTTCTGCCTCTTCAGTAATTTATTTGAATCTCTTTTCTTGTGATCCTGTCCTGGGACCCCCATAAAGCCCCATATATATTGAGATAAACGTGAAACTTTAATTAAGCATTGAATATAAAAAAATCCCACAACATCAATGTCTCTATTCTGATTAAAGAAATTGAAACTACATAGGTCCCTGTGCTTTATGTATGCATATAAACATTTTGCTGAAGATAAATTTACAAATTACCAAAAAAAAAAAAAAAGACTACTTAGCATATGTTGTGAGTTTCCCTGCAAAACCTCAGAATGAATTGCATTCAGGGGTTTCATTAAACTGATCCAATACCTGTGATTGGCAAACAGAAGGTTTATATATTGTTAGACTTTAATAAAATTTGCCTGCAAATAAGGGGAGTCAAGATCAAATAAGCCTAAATAGCTCAACAAAAAGTATAAAAAAGTTAACAAAGGATAAACCTACAATCATATTATATTTTTTACTTTTCAGATGGGGAGGAAGAGAACAGTGTTGACATTACTATGGTAAAAAGGGAAAAATGTTCGTCTTTTTAAATGACACAATTTATGTCATTTTACTCTCACAAATAGGTGAACCCATACCTTTATATTTTTTTGTCAACTCTTTATTCTCCTTTATCTATCTCTTTCTCTTATTTAAAATGACACAATTTTATATTATTTAAAATGATACACATTTTTCCCTGATAAAAATATCAAAAGTTCAAAAGGAAAAACATATTAAAATAAGGGTTTTGCATTTGTTAGATCACAGGACAAAAATTAAGTTTCCTACATATATATCGATACTTGTGTTGCATTTTCTTTTCTTTTTTCTTTTTATTTTAAAAATAATGGACCCACACTAGTTCTCTCTGTAGCATCACAAAAAATTGTCCTTCCACATGATATTTATGTTTCCCTTAAAATAAAGCAATGCCCCTAAACAACTAATCAGTAAAGATGTGTTAAAAAGATAGTGTGCTGTAATTCCGATGAGTTTTCTTCTGACCGCAGACTACAAGAATGTTTCTCTTTAAGAAGTTCAGTCAAAGAATGGATCATGAAAACGGCACAAGGAAGGACCCAGAAAGAGAAGAGGAGGATTTGCTAGAGCGAAGCGTTAAAAAAGCTAAAGAGAACACGGTGGAGGATGCTACTATGGATGAAGATATGGTAGAAAACGGGGGCATACCCAGAACCGACGAGAAGAAATCTCCATCGCAAGAAGGACCATCAAGGTCCATGGGTCCAGGAGGAAAACAATTGGTGACTTACAGGGATATAGTGCTCCAACTAAATGGAGAAAAGGATGACGTCGACAGTGAGGATGAGCACCGGATGGAAACGCAAAAAAGGGAGGAAGAGAAGGATGCAGCAATGGATGAGGAGAATACCGATCTACAGAGTGATCCTCTTTGCCCAGTGTATAAGGTCTCATTGAGACAACATAAAGAAGACTGTAAGAAGTGGAGCAATGCCCTTATAATTAAGCTGCTAGGGAAGAGAGTAAACAACAGATTCTTGATGGCCAGGCTATTAAGAATATGGAGTCTTAAAGGAAAATTTGAAGTTATTGATCTGGATAATGGCTACATCCTAGTTAATTTTCATGATACCAAGGATTATCTACATGTCCTTCATGAAGGCCCGTGGATCATATTGGAACATTACGTAACTGTTCAGAGATGGAGGCCAATGTTCGATCCCTATGATGACCAATTTAAGAAACTTGTTGTGTGGATTCGAATCCCAGGCCTTCCAATGGAGCTTTATACTTCACAACATTTATGGAGGATCGGAAATTTATTTGGGAGAACACTAAAAATTGACAGAAACTCATTAAGGAAATCTGAGGGAGGAGAAGGAGAATACACAGAAAAAGCTAAGTACGCAAGAATTTGTGTTGAAATCGATCTGAGGAAAAGCTTTAAAGCAAAATTTGAGGTCTTTGAGAAAGTATTCCCAGTAGCATATGAGGGGCTACATCTTATATGCTTTGGGTGTGGAAGGTATGGCCACCGGATCGAATCATGTACAGTTGGGGTTGAAGACACTACCAATCCGAGCGCGAAAGGGGGATTGAATGTATCACCAAGTAAGGTTAGTGAACTGTCAACTAAAGACAAAGGGAGAGAAGAAGAATTTGGGGAGTGGATGGTGGTTAAGAGGAAAGACAAGGGTAGAAGAATGCCGGCGAAAACCACCGTGCCGGCAGAAAGGATAGTTGTCTCTCCGGCGGTGCAGAACCAGTGGGAAAAATTGGAAGTGGAGGAAACGGGTTCCAATGAAAAGGACAACACTGATGGGTTGGTGAAAGCAGTGCAGGTGTCAGGAGTAAAGCTAGACAGCAAACCTCAAAGTACAAGGTTAAAGAATAAAAATAATGGGGGGAAAAAGTCAACAACTAGGTGCCTAGCTCCTATCCGTGGAAAATCATCTACCACACCCCCGAAGAAGATCACGACAGATAAAGGATTGGGAGGAAGGAACCAGTCCAAAGGAAGGTCAGGAACATCTATTCACAAAAATATCAGTGGGCCTGAGGGCAAGATGGGCTCAATCATAGAAAAGGAGAACAAAGAACCCAACATGGGATCTAACAAAAACATCCTAGTGGGAAAAGAGGACCAGAAGAGGAAAGAAAAAGATATGCTTTCGATAATGAAATATATGTCAGAGGAGCAGAATGAAGTGGCTTTTGATAAGGTTCTAGCAGCTATGCAAATAGTCAAAAAGGAAACCAACGCTCAAAAACAACCCCCGCTGAGAATTCTGAAAAGAGGTGAAGCTGAAGGACAGATGGAGACAGATCAGGGAGGAGTAGAGGCAGAATCACCAGAAAGGGATAAAGGAAATAGTGGTACAAATGGAGGCCAAAGAAATTCAAAAATCGATAAAGCCAACAAGACAAACGAGAGGAACAGAGACAAAGACGACATTAACCTGAAGGGATGCCAAGCAGCAGTGTTAAATGAATATCCTAATTTGGAACTGTAGAGGAGCTGGCAAAAAGCAAATGAGGAACATCATACAATCGTTTGTGAGGAAGCATAGAGTGGATCTGGTCATTCTTCTTGAAACCAGAATTAGCGGGCCTAAGGCCCAAAAAGTCATCAAAAAGTTGGGCTTCACTAATTCCTTGATGGAAGAGGCAAAAGGTTTCGCTGGGGGGATATGGGCTTTATGGAACCAGCCTAACTTAAAGATTGATCTAATAGACAAGAATCCTCAATACATCCATATGAGACTGTCCTGGACCAGCTCAGATTCATTCCTCTTTACGGCCATATATGCAAGTTCAAGCATAGACCAGAGAAGAGACTTATGGGATGAGCTTCGTGGCATCAGCAATAACATGCAAGAGCCTTGGCTAATGGCTGGGGACTTTAATGATATTGTTGGTGCGCATGAGAAAAAGGGAGGAGCCCCCATTGATTATGCCAGATGCAAATCCTTCGCTTCTGCTATTGACGACTTCAAGCTAATGGAAATGGGGGCTGCAGGTCCTTTCTTTACTTGGAAGGGACCAAAGTTTGCTCATCTAGATAGAGTGTACAAAAGGTTGGACATGATTCTGGCTAATAGTGACTGGATCACTAGGTTTAGTGAAGCTAGTGTGAAGACTCTCCCTAGAGTGTACTCAGACCACAACCCGCTCCTGCTCAATACTTTTTCGGATAACCGTGAATGGGAGGAGCGTCCTTTCAGACTTTTTTCCCCTTGGATGGATCATCCCACATTCAGACAACTCCTAGAAGAGAATTGAAGTAATGACACGAGTGCTTGCAGCAACTTGCAGAAGCTCATTCCAGTTCTGCGCAACTGGAACACCAACACCTATGGGTGGATTGGCCAGAGAAAGAGCGTCATTCTTCGAAGGCTGAATGGCATTCAAAGAAGTCTTGAGAGGAAAGAGAATGACCAATTGGAGGAATTGGAGTCAGAGCTTAGGAGGGACTTAGAGGAAATCCTTACTCTCGAAGAACTTCTTTGGTTTCAGAAATCCAGATCGGATTGGATCAAGGGAGGAGACCGCAACACAAGATATTACCACACTGTGGCAATTTCCAAAAGAAAGAGAAACAGAATTGAAGCTCTAAGAGACGAGGCAGGGAGATGGGTCAAAAAGGATGGAAAGTTAAAGGGTATGGCCTTAGACTTCTACCAAAAACTCTTCACTGACGACGGAGGGGAGAGGCACTGGAGATCAACTAATGTGAGCTGGCCAAGGCTCAATGAATCAGAAATTGGGAACCTGAATAAGCATCTGACCAAGGAGGAGGTGAAAACTGCTTTCTTCCAGATGAGTGGCCATAAGGCTCCTGGCCCTGATGGCTTCCCAGCCATTTTCTATAAAAAAAATTGGAATGTCTTGGGTAACAGAATCTTTGAAGACATGAAGTTGATGTTTATGCATCCAGAAGGTATTTCTTCCATTAATGATACTCTTCTTGTGTTAATCCCTAAGATTGATGCTCCAGATAGCTTGGGACAGTTTAGACCTATATCTTTGTGTAATGTGCTATACAAAGCGATCACTAAGATCATAGTTAACAGACTGAAGCCTGCGCTGAAGAAGTTAGTTTCCCCCTTTCAATCAAGTTTTGTCCCGGGGAGGAATATCCAAGACAACATAATTATAGCCCAGGAGCTGACTCACTCTATGAATAGAAAGAACGGGAAAAAGGCTCTGATGTCTATCAAGATCGATCTTGTGAAAGCTTATGACAAGCTTAATTGGAGCTTTGTAGAGAAGGTCCTAAAGGAAATTGGCATTCCCAGTAGCCTGGTGAAGGTCATCCAAGCGTGTATCTCTTCCCCCAAATTCCAAATCCTTTGGAATGGCAGCAAAACGGACATCTTTTTTCCTACTAGAGGAGTGAGACAAGGAGACCCCATTTCCCCTTATCTCTTTGTTCTGTGTATGGATAAATTGACACACCTGATCTCAGAGCAAATTAGGAAGAAGAACTGGAAGCCCATGAAAGCTGGTAAGAGGGGACCAGGGATCTCTCACCTAATGTTCGCTGATGACCTGGTTCTATTTGGGGAAGCTAGTCTTGGCCAACTTGATGTCATGCTGGGATGCCTACAGGAGTTCAGTAGGATGTCTGGACAAGAGGTTAGCATAGAAAAGACAGTGGTCTACTTCTCTAGAAACACAAGAGCAGATGTGAAGGAAACAATAACTAGTGTCAGCGGATTCAAAATAGCTGAATCTTTGGGAAAGTATTTGGGAACTATGCTTCACAATGGAAGGGGGAGAAGAAGGAAATTTGAAGGGGTCATCCAACGAGTGAGGCAAAGACTTGCGGGATGGAAATGCAATTGCCTATCCTTTGCAGGTAGGACCACCTTAGCAAACTCGGTGCTGAGTACAATCCCTTCGTTCCTAACCTCTATTTGGCACCTATGGCTCTGGAGAAATTTAGAGTGCCATAATCCTAGTGAAAGACGTCCGCAAAACACAATTCTGGCTATCTCCAAGTATATTACTGAGGTCAACTCTGCCATGGACAACAATGTGACTACTGAGGAACAGAACACCCATCACAACATAGACAGATGGAGCCCCCCACCTCAGGGCTGGTGGAAGTTAAACGTCGATGGAGCGGTCAAGAACAACAATAAAGAAGCTTCGTGTGGGGGATTGATAAGAAGAGAAGATGGAGGGTGGGTCACTGGATTCACTTACAGGATAGGAAGCTGCTCGCCCCTTGTAGCTGAGCTTTGGGCGATTCTGAAAGGTCTGCAACTTTCCTGGGAGGAAGATGCCCATCACCTAGCAGTGGAGAGCGATTCCATGCTAGCAATAGAGGCAATAAACTCGATTGATGAGGAAGGAACCCAAATGCAGCTAGTGAAGAGCATCAACGAGTGGAGGAAAGAAGACTGGACTCTCAATTTCGCGCATGTGAAAAGGGAAAGGAATAGAAGCGCTGATTTTCTAGCGAATAGGATCTCAGCTGGGGAAGAAAACATGATTGTGTATAGGGACCCCCCTATGGGGATTGGGCCTTTTCTGGAGTTAGACGCTAATGTCTAGTTTGTTTCTTGGGCTTTAGCCTTCACGGTATTAAAAATAAAAAATAAAAAATAAATAAACAGCTAATCAATAAAGCAAGGAACTTTTAACTCAACCAGATGCATGAATGTAACACAGATTAAAATGTGGCAGTGGAAATGTAACAAACGCTCTTAATGGACATCGAAAAGTGCAAGTCCAATGCTTGTCTAGTTGTCTTCCTTCTTCGATTGAAAGTGATATTTTTAAAGTGACCACTACTCTTCAATCTCCGTTCCATGCTAACCTTTCATACGAAATAAACAATTGCATAAAATTGAATACCTATGATGTTTTGGCCTTTTGACCCTTCTAACGTGAGTGTTGAAAACATTTACCGGTTTAAGTCATTTTACAAATTATTTATCAATTTTATGTGAAAAGATGCGAATTCTAACCATGGGTGTTCAAGTCGGGTATCACCCCATGGGTGACTTATACAAAAACTAGCACACGCCTTCCAAGTGTCACACTCTACAAGATGCGAGACTAGTAGGCACAAGAGGGTGTCAAACATCTTGCTGTTCGACAAGTCGCAACACTTTTGCGCAAGTCAGGCATGGAGTGATGCGCAACTTGAACACACACTTACAAGATTAAGGTTTTCCAGCATTAGATTAATAAATAATTTGCCAAAAGACTTAAATGTTATAAAATTTGCATTAGAAGGATAAAAAGTCTGATATTTTGGATGCAAAATGTACAGTTCTTTTTATCCTTCCTTTGCAGATGCACAATCATGCAGAGGTGGAACCAGAAACTTTGTGAAGGGGTAAAATTTTTTAAAAAATTTAACGAAAGATGGAAGAAATTCTAATGAAATTAAATCAATTTTTTTGTAAAATTCATAGTTACATTCTTATTTAGGTTCCTGAAATACTAAGTAATCATTTTAACTATAATAATGGATAGGGTTCAGAATGTTACTTCAAAATTCAAATTTAAATTAAGCTTGATCAATTTTGTACCTTAAAGCAATCTCAGCAAGCAGAAGCAGGGTAGGCACTGGTTGGAACCCCAATTGCAGAAGAACATTCCCTATTATTCATTCCACTGCCATTGTTTCCCAGTTGCAGTTCTGAAACACAAGGCATTTCATTTTTCTCATCAACACCATGATCATACAGAAACCCCTTGAACACATGGCCACTAATGTTAACCGTGGCCAAGTAAGCAAATTCATCTTCACCATTGCCAATAGCAGACACTCTATGGCACCTAAACACAGCAGGTGCACAAACATGACGAGGTAAAGATTGTTTGAAACCAACATCTGCAATTCAAGTGAATCATTTCAACCTCCATAAGTTTACTACATAATAATATCTTTGATAACAAGCCTAAAAGGTCAGATAAGGGAAATTGCCTTAACTTCTATCCTAGCGACTTGGGGTTTAATGAGGAGTGATTTTATGATGAAAAATAGAAACAGAAAGTGAAATAACCTTGGTGACAAGAGCTAGTATCTAAGGTTAAGCTCTTTGTTGTGGTAGCATTGGAGATTGAACTTGGAGAGGTAGCAGCAACAGCAACACCATTATGTGATGACCCCAAAACTCTTGGCCTCTTAGAACAACCGTCGTCATCACCACCACCACCAGCCACCGCCGTATTCCGGTCCCGCCGCAGTGATGCTGGGATCCACGTGCTCTTCACGTGAGTGCTGCAATTATAGCCACGTCCCTTGCAACAGGTTCTGCATCTTTTAAAGGTGCAATCTTTCTTTGCCCTGTTACCACAATCCTGACACACCCTGAACTCAACCCCATAGATACCATTTTCCTCACTCTCCATCATGTGCTTGTTGTTCTCATCTTCTTCCACGTTGATCATCACTCCTTTTCTTGCAGAATTCACTTCTGGGCACATCTTGAGGTTCCAATAGTTGGGGTTGCAAGCGTTGTCACAATCTTGAACATCATTTCCATGAGGATGTGACATGCAGGGAGTGGCAGTTAGGAGTGGGAAAATGCCAAGACCGACACTTAGAGAAGCTGATGAAGACAAAGGAAGGTTGGCATGAGGTTCTGCTGAAATGGGTTGGCCCTGTTGGTGCATAGGAGAGGTTGGAGCTATGAAAACTAGGTCTCTAAGGCCTAACATGTTCATTGGAACTACAAGGTCTCAAACTGAGGGCTTTTTTTTCTTTTTTTCTTTTTAAAAGTGTTGTTGATGTTTATCTTTTTGAGGTGTTGTTGAATGTGTGGGGATTTTATAGAGAGAATGAGGTTGAGAATCCCTTTGATGCAAAATGTGATCTTATGACTTGGTTTTGTGTTGTATGTCTTTATCTGATTAGCATTGGGAAAAGGGCGATTTTGGTGCAAAAGGCCACTACTGCTACAGGTTTCTGACGCTGAAATTCCACTTACAGATTCCTGTATTGGTAAAGGGGGATAGTTATTGTTGGAGTTATGTGCCCCCGAAGACATTTGTGGTTTGTGGTGCCTCCAAGTGTAGTTACATATTCCACTTAAAGATCCTTGCACGTTTTTGTTCTGAATTTAGTCAAGAGGAACAATCATGATTGAAAATCTGAAGAGTTTGATCAAGATGTTGAGAAATTTTGAAATGTATTATTAGTCAAACAAAGTTCATACTATGATTTAATTATTCTTTATCACATCATTAAAATAATGTAATTGTATTATATTATTGAGTTTCACATTCATCTCAGTAGATGAGATCTATGAACCACCGATACTTTAAAAATCTCGACGTATAGTGTTCGATACTTCAAGAATCCTGACATGTCGTGTCCGACACTCTCCAACACTCCGACACTCCAACATGAGTTGTAGAGACTCAAAAAAATGTTCAAAGGACACGTTGCGTTTTTAGCTCTAACTATTAGATTTGTTGGATTACGATTATTATTTTATTGAGTTTAATATAAATATTTGGATTATCTTATGTTTCTTTGCAAAATTAATGGCTATTATAAGTTTAGCTTCATTTTTCTGTTAAGTTATTTAATATTAAATATAATATTCATTACATAAATTAAAAATATTATTTAATATCAAAATGTGTCCTAATGTGTGGAAATCTAACATTTTTTAGAATTAATGTGTCAGAGTGTCATGTTGTATCGTGTCTCATGTCCTGTGTTGGTATCGGTATCAGTACTACACATAGGATGAGATAGTTCTAATTACTTGTTATTTTATATTGTCATTCTCCTGTTTTTTTTTTTTTCAAAGATATCATCCGACCGGACAGTTGAATATTAATTTTTTTCGAAGCGAGAGATCACATTAAATGAATAAATTTCTTCCAATAAAACATTTTTCATACACATAGCCAGAGATCAAACTCCTATCAGCATGTTTAAAGAATCCAATTATCTATTAACTGTGTTAGGCTTTGTTGGTAGAAGCCTAATCTTTTTAACTATATGTAACATTACTGAATTTTGTCAATGTAAAAAGTTATTTACAATCATATAATTAAGTATTGTTATATTATTAAAATTAAATTCTTAAATGATTATCATATTCAAACTCATTTTAAAGTTGTGTAACACATGATTGGATAGTACTATACAAATTTTACGGCTTTTTGACCCTTTTGCCCCTAATTAAATAATTAATAACCAATTTGCCCCTCCCCCAGAACTATCCACCATCCTGCCCCCATTTAGTCAATTAAGTTGCACTTTTAATCGACTAAATGGGCTAAACTCAGAAATCATGAAACGCGAATTTTAGTCGACTAAAAACTCACCTTAATCGACTAATTTGTTTGCACTTTTAGTCGACTAAGCACATTATTTAGTCGACTAAAGATCACGGAAAACCCTATATCCAGACCTCTCTTGGTCTCATTTTCATTATATTCGAATGTAAAACTCCTCCCTTGGTCTCTTTCTCTTGTTTGTCAGCTGTGAACCTTCCAATCACCCTTCCATTTCATCACACCACCTCTAAGGCATAGTAATTGTGAAATCATTGTCATTTTCCTTTATTTCTCAATTTTTTCCCCCAAATCCGAACCCAAAACCCTAAAATCTGATTCCTACCCCCAAAATTCGTGTGAAAGATGAGCTCAAGTCCAAACATGTATGTTACCATGATTTACTATGATGGAAAGCATTATGAAGGCCCCAACGGTGTTCAATTTGAAGGAAAAACGAAAATGTTGAAAATCAAACGGGGCACTACGTACAATGAGCTGAAGGGGAGGATTCACCAAAAATTGGGGCTACACGGCAGCCATGGCGTTCAACGGATGATCGCCAGGGTAGAGTCTACAGTTGGTAAGGATGCTATATTCTACATTGGTAATGATATATGTGACGATGAAGATGTGGACTGTGTCATAGATGCAATTGTGGACCGAAAATTTCAAAATTTTATTGAGATATATGTTGAAATAGACTGTGGTCAATCTTCATCTGCACCTGTGCATGGAAGAAGTCAAAGTCAAGAAGACAGAGTGGTCGGTTTATCTGCACTTGCACCTGTCTTAAGTCAGATACCACTGAGGGAAATAGACGAGGATGAGGATGAGCATGACGAGGATATGGACAGTGAAGACGATGGTGAACCTGAGAGTGTTATTCCGCTGGGTGACACCTCAGATACGGACGTAGAGGGGAATTTTGACGCTGATACTAGTTCAGGAAACTTGAGTTCCCAGGTTATGCCACCGCTCCGTGTTGACCCTGTTAGCAGTGGTAAGATTGTAAATTAAAGTTTTAATTTTGCATATATATATATTTGTGTTTTCTTTCGTACTGACGGATAAGTTTAAATTTGGACGTAGGTTCTGAGATTGAGCCATTTTGGAACGACAGCCCACACTATTCGTTCATTAATTGAACTCACCCTAATGATGAGACGGAGATACTGTATGGCGACGATGACATCCACGGTGGCTGGCATTTAGGGGATCCATTATATTTGTACCAGGAGTTTTGAACTAAATCTGAAATGCAACATGCAGTCAAATTATATTGTATGAAGTCTCATCGTACTGCTGTGGTGGCAAAAAGTGATGACCATAGATTTGTGATGAAGTGTCGACACCATAATGATGGTTGTCCCTGGTACGTGCGGGCTATGTTGCCCAAGAATGGAAATAGTTGGGTTGTTAGTAAGTGGGGTAAAAAACACATTTGCCTAAACCAAGGCCTTACTCGGGACCATAGACAGCTGGATTCTGATGTAATCTGAGCAGCCATTATAAGTATGTATTACAGAATTTTTGTTTATGGTTTAATTTTTCGGTATATTTATTGATTGTGTTGACTTCGAATTTTGTATAGGTATGTTAAAAGAAGATCCATCCACGAAACCAGTTCTTATTCAGGAGAGGGTACAAAGTTTGTATGGATACAACATATCTTATAGGAAGGATTGGAAGGCTAAAATAAAGGCAATTGTGAAGTTGTTTGGGGACTGGGAAAAATCATATGCCATCTTACCTGGTTGGCTGACCTACATGACACAGATAAATCCTGGTTCTGTGTTCAAGATTGATACAGATCAGTGTTGTGACGAACGACGTGTCTACACCGATAAGGCTGTCTTTCGCAGGGTATTTTGGACTTTTCACCAGTGCATTGAGGCTTTCAAATATTGTAAACCCATAATCCAAATTGATGGCACGCACCTGTACGGGAAATACAAAGGTACCCTCTTGATTGCTACGTCACAGGATGGTGATGGATTCATTCTGCCTATTGCGTTTGCCATTGTTCCACCGGGTGAGAGATTGGATGATTGGTTGTGGTTTCTTAGCCAGATGCGTTTCCATGTCACACGTAGGCATGGTATATGTCTAATATCCGATCGTCACCCCAGCATCATCAGGGCTGTGAAGGATCATGCCGGTTGGCAGCCTCCATTTGCGTATCACGTGTTCTGTCTTCGTCACATTGGAAGCAACTTCAACACTAAGTTTAGGGACGTGGAACTGAAGAAAACGCTGATGAAACTAGGTAACCTATTTACATTAATGTGTACATGTTGTTTGTAATGTTGTTTATGTATAACTCATTGCAATTTGGGTTCATTTTTTGCAGGTTACATGTGTTCGAAGATTCACTTTGATTTAAGATTTCAAGAATTTGTCGACAGTAACCCACAAGTAGCCTCATGGATAGATCAGATTCCCAAAGAGAAATGGTGCAGGTCTTATGATGAGGAGGGCCGAAGGTTTGGTCATATGACGACTAACCTATCTAAGTGTATCAATAAGGTCCTACGGGGTGCACGTAATTTGCCAGTAACGGCATTGGTCAAGATGACGCAAAGTAGACTTGTAGAGTATTTTGTGAAGAGGCGTGAAAAGATCCAAAAAGTAAAGGACAAAGGCTGGAGAATTGCAAAAAAGGTTGAGGACTTCTTACAAAAGAATGATCAGTTAACTGTCAGTCTCCGTGTCCGTGTTTTTGATAGAGACTTGCAGTTGTTTGAAGTTGAGGATGCCTACAATCGATCTACGCATGATGTCGGCGACATTATGAGGGTTGACTTGCTAAATCGTAAATGTCAATGTGGACGGTTCACAGCTAGACGATTTCCTTGCAGTCATGTGCTAGCGGTGTGCAAGGTTGAAAAATTGAACCACTATGACTATGTCGATCCTGTGTTCTCAATTACACAAATTGAGAAGGTCTATGAGTAATGAGTTGTTGATCCCAGAAATAGATGGTCCAACTTTAATCCCAAATGCATCTTTGGTTCGTGCACAAGGTAGACCGAAGTCTTCAAGGATACAGAATGAAATGGATTGGGTTGAGTCCCAACCCACAAGCAGTCAAACTAGATGCAGCACCTGCAAGCAAATTGGTCACAATAAACGTACATGTCCTATGAGGATTAATCCTAGCTGAACCAATGTTGTGCATGTATTTAAGGTCTTTTGTAAGAGTTCATGTAATTCTGTTATGAATTTTGATGTTACTTTGTGTTACTGTATAACTCATTATGTAATTTGACATTTCATTTCTAAGTCCATTATCTAACATTGGTCCATATTGATAGATTGAAACTTATAACTAATACTAATATTACCAAAAAATGAAATCACCAAGTTTCGGGGAGCGTAAACAAACGGTTTGGGGTAATACGTACCCAATCGCATACGAATCCTGTACAATA